CCATTCAGTTGTGGATTTTTGGCTTTGCTTGGGGCCATTATCAGACCTGTCAGACAGATGGCCTCATATTAGACTCTTCGGTACACAGAGGACGTCATGAGCAGCTCAGTGACTACAGGGTGCCCAGGTTGTGTAGCTGTAAAATAAACTCAAATCATCACCCTCTACCACCACACTGACAACTGGTATGAGATGCTTCTCTCTGCATTTAACCCATTCATGCAGTGAAGCAGTGGGCAGCCGTGAATCAGTGGATTCAAACCCCCGACCTTCTGATCACGGGGTGACCACGCTACCTACTGAGCTATCCCTGCCCCTCATTGCATTGCAATGGACCGAGGCTACTCAGGGTTCCCATGATGAACTGATTGTTTCTTTTCCACCATAAACGTGTGTTTATGTGTGTACCATCCTTGCATTTAATCATTAGTTGTTATTAATCTCTGGCTCTTCCACAGCATGTCTCTCACCCCCAACTGGTTGTGGCAGATGGCTACCCTTCCCTGAGCCTGGTTCTGCTGGAGGTTTCTTCCTTTTAGGTGGGAGTTTTTCCTTCCCACTGTCGCCAAGTGCTTGCTCATAGGGGGTCATCTTATTGTTGGGGTTGTCTATGTATTAATGCAGGGTCCTTGGGCGCCTTGAGGTGACTTCTGCCTGACTTCTGTCCACTACTTAGAAACATAGAAAGTCTGAACGCTCCAAACTAGCAGACTGACAAAATTCTGCTTTTACAAATGTGTTCACACCAACTAATGATCAGTTATGTCATGTATTTGCATTTGATTAGCAGCATCTGCCACCTCAAGTAATCAGTAAGAGTGTACTTAGTTCTTTCACACACTGCTTCTGCATTTTTTAAAGTTGTGTTAGATAAATAATGACACCATTAAATATGTCATGTGTTGTTCATCTGAGGTTGTATGCAAGTGCGAGGTGATCTTACATTATGCCCTGATATATAAAACCTTCAAACTGAAGAGGTGTACTTTTTCATTGCTGTGTGTCTTCATGTAAACCCTCACATCTGTCACATGGTGAATGGCAGCAATTAGCTTAATAGGATTACAAATGGACTCCAGTCAGTTTGAATCTGCTTCTTTTCATGAGTTTCGTCCTCGTCTCCCAAGGTAAAATGTTTTGTTTTGAACAACAAATAACAATTCTTGTACACAAACTTTCACTCGTTAGACTCTCCAAAGAAGGACTTCTAGCAGATGGCGTGGTATTGTCTCTGATGTTGGCACAGCAATTTTTCAACCAAGACTAGATGTTAAGAAAGGATTGCCAGCTGACGGCGATTCAATTTCAAAACGTTTGCAGCGTATCCATCACTGCACAGTAAATATTCAATCATCTATCAATATGCAGCCTACCTGTACCCGTCCGTGAGCCAGGACTGACGTATGTGTGCAAATGTATGGATGCACACACATGCACAAGCATGCCCATTTTGTCTGCGATGCACACGGCTATTTGCTGGCACACAGACGAGACATGAATATTTAAAAGGCTTCAGTCTGCATGCGCTCCATATATGTCACCATCAGAGTCTCAAGAGCTTGTTGGAGGGCAGGGGCCCCTGTGAGGAGCACATGTGTGTGTGTGTGTGTGTGGCAGGCTCAAAGTGGCCATCTTCATATATCATGTAGCTCCTCCCTGCCAAGAGCACTGCTTCTGTCAAGTGTGTGTGATGAGCACCCACAAGACCTCTCCACACTTCACCCACTCATCTGTGTGTGTGTGTGTGTGTGTGTTTGAGTCAAAACGAAGAAGGAAAAGAGAAAGAACAAGGCAGAGAGAACATTATGTGTATCTGCTGTGTTTAGAAAGCAGGTCAGTGGGGTAGGCTGGAGTGTGTGTGTGTGTGTGTGTGTGTGTGTGTGTGTGTAGTTGGGTAGGAGGCTTTTAATCAGCTTAGAGCATTCAAGTCAGTCAAACACAATTCTTATTGCAAACAGCATGTTTCATAATAAAAATGAATTTCTCAGTGCAGTCAAAAAGCTGAACAAAACACACAGAAACCAGATGGATATTTAACATTCTCAATTAAATGCGTTCATTTAGAGTTTATGCGTGGCAAAGCCATTAGGCTCAGAAACATTTGGTTGCTTGTGACAATGATGAAGACGGGACAAAACATGACGAAAATGAATTCATCTTAGATAATTATTTATTGATTTTTTCTTAACTAATGTGTTTCGATCCCTATCATTGCTAGTTTCTGGTGAAAAGGAAAAATCTAATAAGCAGACAGTGGCCTATGTCCGTCTATTGATGACTATAACACTGTAGATGGCATACAATGCACAATAAAACAGAATTATGACATTATGATGAAGTTTAAACACTGATAAATAATTTGAAACTAAACAAAAAGAAAAATATATAAATAATTTACAACACAAATTAAAAAAAAACACATGAAATACATAATTTAAAAACAAACAAACAAACAAGCTAAACGCTTAACATACTTAACAATAAAATAAAATATATACATTGGTGTCTATAGCTAACCTTTCCCCTTGTTATAATTTAATGTAATCTACCCATTTAGATTGTATTAAGGCTTAAAATTATGCATTATTCACATCTTGACTACTTTGACTGGCAGGTGGGTGCTGACAGCCGTCTGCTGGGCTTCACCTCAGTTAATCGGAGTCACTGAACTGTATTTTTAGACCAGGCTGGGGGTGGTTTTCATTGAGGAGAGCTCTAGTTTTATGTCTGCATGTTACTGCTAATTAGCAGGTATCTGTGTCCATGCGATGCACCCATAAAGTCTTTGATTGGACCTTGATAAATAAGCTATGTAGCATTAGCTCACAACTTAGCACTTTGAGTCTGGCCTCAAAAGAATGAAAAATAAATACATAAAAATAAACAAACCAAAGAAAAAAGTCAAAGCTTAAAAGCTATTGGTTATCCATCTTTTATATGACCACTCAAAAAAAATACCACACTTAAATTATATTTATTCAGATTTTAGATACTGTAGTAAACAAACCAAAGATATAAAACTATCTTTGTTTTGATACCCGAACAATCTGGCTACACAAAAAAACCTACAAGAAATTCAAAGAATACTCATATCATTCTGTACAATGGGGATAGTCACACTCTGTACCCTAAAATGTCTATGTTTGTGCATAAAAACATTTTTACACATTATATTTTTTATATATTTTAATAATATCAACACTTTGCAATAAATTTGGAATTTAAAAAGTGTGACAATTAAATATTTTGCTATGTTTTACCTTTTGATCCACTAATCACCACAGATATGCTAGCTAGCATTCATCTAGTGAGTGTAGTCTGTCAGATCACCGTTTACCTCTTAACAGCGAGTGAAAAGCATCCACGTCTATTTACTCCGGTGAAGGCTGTAAAACTATGTGAAACAAGTCGGATACGAGTCAGTGAGTCAGTGGAGCTAACTTCTCTCCAGTGACAGCAATACAGAGATGAGTTGTTGAACCCTTATACAGTAAGCACTGGTGTATTTAGCGCTGTTAGCCCCTGTTAGTGAAACTTTCTCTGAAGTGGAGCTAACATTGTTGGACTCTGACACTTAGTGAATAACCTATCATAGGATGTGAGAATGTAATCAAACTGTTTATTAAGGGAAAGGTGAGATTTTTAGGACATTCAAATCGAACATTAGCTAGCATCATGTTAGCTTATAACCAGCTGTTGTTGTTTAGGCGGCTCGTTCTCAGCTGCCCAGAGTCTAATCTCGTGAAAATGAGTAATTGCGGCAAGATTTGGAATAAATAAGCTTGTTTTTGCATATTTTCACGAGTTAGAGTCTTGACTTCAGTTGAAAAAATGAGGCTCAAGGTAGCCAGGAAGAGCAGTAGACACAAGAGAGGAGAGAGGGTGGTGGTGGAGGAGGCAGATGCTCAAGTGGAAAAGGAGATAATAAGAAATAGATGATGAAATGTACTAATCTTAAATGTTCTGAATAGCTTAAAAAAGATACTTGTCATCTTTAAATTAAATTATTAATGTAGAATTGACCCTTTAGAGCAGGTTTTGGTTTTTCTTTAGTTATATTTTGGTGTTTAACATGCTACACCGCATTAGAATCATATTATAATTTTCTAGATTTCTTAGAACATTTTACACATATTTTTGAGATGTTGGCGAATTTTAAATAAATAGCTGATAACAAACACATCTTGTTCTGAGCCAAAATCACCAAAAAGGTTAAGCACAGTCAATCAAGTAGTCTCCAGTTTCATCCTTGTGGCCACATATAAGGTCTGACACACTGAATTGCATTACAACATGCCAATAAATTGGTACCACTGTATCGCTGGTCAAAATGAAATGCAATTTGATGTCTGCTTGTTGAGATGCAGCCAAATGTAAAGGGTTAACGACACGGTCGGCGATGCCTCACTTTCCACAACACTGCATGATGGGTAAACGACACCCCCCGCAGAGTCTGACAGGAGCTCGCAGCGGTCCGTCACCTCATGTCCACTCTCAGTGGGACGCCTCACACTTGTGATGTTATGAGATATTCACACAAAACCCACAAGCCTGCACAGACCTGTGTATGGCTTGTCCCACTGATCTGACTGCATATTAAGTGGAATGATAAAATAAGAGTGGCCCCATCTGGTAAATAGGACACTGACTTACTAATGCTGCTGAAAAGACGAGGCACATTTAGAGGTGAATAAATTATTGTTATTTTTGTGCTTCCTCTATGGCACAGAAATTCATGAATTAAACAAACTTTTATCCAAAAGATGATATTGTTGGAACTTAATGGACCATTAGTAAGTCATGAACGTGGGTACTGTGGTGTCCCCCGGTGTCACTAAATTTGTATTTATCTGCATCTGCTTAAACTCCTGCTCAAACAATAAGGCTTGTTGATAGCTACGGTGCCCAACTGTTTTAGGATGTTAATTTAAAAATAAATAAATTATGTTTTGTAAATGTACCGTTTGAATAGGGCTGCATTAAGCTCAAACAAGACACACCAACTGCAAAAAAACAGTGGATTTTATACCCTGTTGTGTTACCCAAGTATTGAGAGAATGATGTACGCTGCATAGTTTCTCTAGGTAACATGACCTTTAACCTGGAAAAAGAGACAAAAGTCGCATACTGTTTTTCTTTACCAGGTCTAGTGGACCAAGGACTGTTTTTTCTTTCTTTTTTTTCAGAGAATCTTTCCACTGATTCCAGCAGTAACCTCCTAAAAGGATTGTTTAGTGGGAGAAGTTTCAGAATTTGTTTGGATGGAAACTCCTCATGAGAAAGGTTGGTAATTCATTGTATTCAAATAGAAGTTTTAAGCACCGGAAAAGGTTCATTGTGCATCTGGCAGCAATATACAGCTGAAGGTGCTTTTTCTCCTCTCAAGGAGAGCAAACTTTCGAAGGGGAAGGGGAAATGGAAGTGGAGCACAGAGATTGATTTGACTGCAAATGATTTTGACTCTGATGAAGACAAAGCGGTGCTGGAATGATGGTCTGTTTGCACTATTAACGCTGCATCAGTCAGCATGCTCCAGTCGCTCAGTGCTCTAAGTGTTCAGCTGGACGAGGTAGAAAAGCACATGTGCCATAAAACTCTACTGATGTGATATATATCCAATTAGTTATTGTCCAGTGTTGGCTATTTGAAATTAAGTAAGCGTAATAGCCCTGCACTTTTATTGGATGGCATTACCTTCTAAGGTGTTCCTGTCATTTTAACCTGTTTCCCCTGAAGCAGGAGTGCAAATCAAACCCTGAGCCTGAATGTTTATCTACTTAGTGTGTAACGCCGTAATGTGGCCCACGCTTCAGAACCAGCCTCACTGTATGGCAGATATGAGGCGGAAACAGTCATGCGTTACATTACCCCTGTCCACTGTCGCAAGCTTCTGTTACAGAGCAATCTATAAGTACTTAGCTGCTAAGGAAATTAGCCGCTCCATCGGCTAGAGAATGAAGAAATCATTGCACAGTCCGGTATGCTCCTGTGCGCCTGTGTAATTGTATTTCTAACAAATGTGCTTGCAAAGTAGGGGGCTTCAGACCTTTTTCTACTTCCATCTCCTCCTCCTCCTCCTCCTCCTTCCTCTTAACTAAAACCCGCTTAACATGCGAGCGCAAGCTAGCCATGCACCGGGGCCGTGCCAGCGCACCGCAGCCAACCTCATTACCGTTTGATTATGCGAAATCAGCAGAGAGGAGCGAGAGAATCAAAGCTAACCGCTGGAGATGAGTGAGTTGTACAGTAAGTGTCCCTGCCCCACTGGATTGGTCGGGAGAAAGATTAGAGGACTCGCTCCCTGAGACTCACGGAGATCAAATTCTCTCCGTTTGCCTCCTTCTTGGGTGTCAAAAATGAGTTTCGGTGATGAGACAAGATGTCAAGGTCTATCCTGGAGTTGCTGTTGGGGATGTGAGAAGAGCAGGGTTTTTTTTTTTTTTTTTGAGTAAGCTTGGAAAAATAAGGAAGATCCTTGCTAGGATAGGCATACAGAATTCTGGGACCCTGGCAGAGAGGAGTGGGTTAAAACACCATCATTTATATTCAAGGACAGCTGCAGCCTAAGAGTGGGTGAAAAATCGACGCGGGGGCTTTACCTCGTCTCATCCTCACTTTTTTGTTCAGGCTGAAAAGATGCCTCTGTGCTCGCCGTTGTGGTCCCCGGCAGAGGCTGAAATGATGTTTAGGGGGACTGAATACAGAGGCGACAAAAAGGGCGACAAAAAAATGACAGGGCGGTGTGTATGTATTCATACACAAATAGGAGCACAAACGCAAGCAAAGATACACACACATTCATTCATAGACACACACACTCACAGCAGCCATCAGTGCTGTGCAAGATAACAAGACCATACTGAGGATGACCGGAGGGGTGGGGAGACAGGAAAGGATGAGTGAAAGAGTAAGAAAGTGGTCACGCTCGGCTTACTTTTGCCATGTAGCTGCCCTATCTCCCTGCCGCACTGACCCTCTACACGACAAGCTCCACGTCTTATCAGCGCTTTCCTCGGTCCCTTGGTCTTTCTCCCCTGGCGCCGTGCGGGAACGTGATGCAGGAAAAACGCAAACGCCAGATATAGGTTGAGTCATAGAGCGGCACTATCAGCTTCGGACACGGACCCTGTTAGCCTGCAGTCATCAAGCAGTTCAAGGTGTGATTTAAAACCGCGGACTGTTCTTTCCCTCAGGCGTGTATAGAGAGACATATGTTCATAAAGCCCACACACACACTTCAGTATCCCTGAAGAAAACACATGCCCACTTCATTTATGAGCTTGCCTAAGTGCGGCCTTTAATTGAAGTGCTGCTGCAGGTAAAAAGTGCATTTATATGCATTTCTTTAGCCAAAAGCAACTGGCTGTAACACCTGCACACAAACAGAAACGCACACACTCACACATAATGGCAACAGTGGATATTGAAGGTGACAGGGGCCTTATCCGCTTAATCCAAATTTACATACACCACTTCCGTTTGGTATTCCATCAAAAGCACTGAACCTCCACCTTCCCCCATGCAAAAAAACCCTACACTGGGCTTTGTGTCAGACTGATACAAACATGGTTTTGACCCGATATCCAGAACTGCCAAAACTAAATAAAAATGCAAAAACAGGAAAGAAAAAAATTACATTTTTCAGTAGATCTCAACAACAGGATTAGCAAAAATGAGCAGGGTTGTGGGTTTAGGAAAAACAAACAAACAAAAAAAACCTTTTTGGTGGGTATTTTTATAGCTGTATCTTTGAGTTTAGCTAAATTTGTAGTTGTGTGTTTGTGATGGTGGTGTCCACAACCACACACCTGAAATTCATTGATATTCATTCACATCTCACATTCATATAAATCAGACACAGATTTAAGGTTTTACCCTCCCTCCTCATTTTCATGTGTATGTTTTACAAAGTTACATAGCAAACAGTTGCTTTAATTCATGTGGATATTTTGTTTTCATATAAGTGATCACACTACACTTTTGTCACTGATTTTTAGGTTACATTAATTTTTCTCTGTTTTCAGGAGTTACCTGTCTGCTGTTCCAGTCCTTCCTGGTTTAAACAAAAGAGGAGGCTGAGGGGTGGAGGTGGTTTAAATACAGAGGCCAACTAAATGGGCTTAACTCAATTTACGAGGCCAACCATATGGTTATTTTCCATCTTTGCCCTCAAAATGGTTTATTCAGCTAGTTTATCCTGGGTCCAGCTGTCTCTTATTGGAGTAGGTCTTGTTCAAATCTTGTTTCGCTAAGCAATTTTTTGTGTTGAGTTTTGCTTAACTGATCTTTCATCTTTTACTTTCATGTGTATTTCTTGATATTAACTTTTTTTCAGTATAAGAAAACCCACATACTGAATTTTATACCTGTTATTAGAGCATTAAATATTTAGTTTTGCTATTTAAAAAAAGGAAATGCTGTGTAAGCCTATTTTATATATTAAAATATGCCACCATTCATTGACACAATGAAACAACATAAGGGTTGTATCCATCCATCCTTTGGCTTTCTGGCATTTATCAGGTTGCGAGGCTGTCACACGTCAACAATCTGCCCTGCGTCGTGGTTCCAGCGGTATCCGGTGAGCTCTCGCTGGCCCTTGGAAATTTTAGGGGTGAAGGTGTTTGTCTCCAAGGTCAAAAAAGCTTCTGGCATGTTACCTCAGGGAAGCTAAAGGAAGTCAGCAGGCCAAATCCATCACTGCGGGATAAAGATTGTTGCTAAGGGCTGGGCTGGTTGGGTTGGGGTAAGAAATGGGGCTGGGGGAGCAGTCATCTTGTTGCCTTCCTCTCTGTCTGCCACTGGTGCATGGCCTTCCTTGTAGAGACCATGTCTGTGGTGCTCAGCAAGTCACATGACGTGGGTTTTCATTAGGCAGTGTCCACCACCAGCGGCGGCTCTGGGCCCTGTTCACAGATCACCTCAGCTGTGGTACCCATCTCATGAACTGGTTTGGTCCAGGGGAGTCCCACTGTTTAATTAAAACAAAGCATTGTGAAGGCCCACGGCGGGTTTTGATGCGATGTGATTTCTGCCCAGTTCCCTGAATGTCAGAATAGATGATAACCTCAATTGTACACATTGTCTGCATCTCATATATCCTCTTTGTGGCAAAACGGGAAAAAAATTCTAAGTACGGGGAACATCAGATTGAGATTCAAGAAGGGTTTTTTTGCAGACCACACTGTGCAACACAGCCTGAATAAACCTGAGTGTAACATCAGATCTCATACATGTGGACTGTGCAAAAGTACTGCTAATACTGATTTGTAGGCTACATGCAGGTGCACTTCCTCTGTTATTTCTTTCAGTTGGATGACCCCTTTCGGTGGGGTCAAGGCAACGGCTGGAGTACACCTCACTCTGCATTCCTAGTAGTCGGTTAGTAGATGCGGGATAAGGCAGCAGTCACACTGTGAGATGATCACTGTACATTTTTGATATTGTTAGAATTTGGTCCCAGGCTGTCTTTAAACCACCAGTTGTGGGTTGTGTTGGTTGTTTCCCAGGGTTTTGAGTTCCTCTAAGTTCAATATGCTGGTTTATTATTTGGTATTTTCTGATTCATTTAATTGAGATTCCATGTTCTTATGTCTGTTCCCTGTTTGAGGTTTTAATTTTCATTTACACTCCAGGATGTTTAGTCTGTGGTCCGTATTGTATTTCACTTCAAGCTATTTTTAGTGTTTAATAACGTCTATCCCTCCATTCGAGCCTTACCTCTGTAGCAGCATCAGGTTTACTTCCTGCTTTATTTATTGTGTGTCTTGCTTTGTGTTTTACTTCTGCCTACAGCTATCTTGATTGTCAGCACACACTCATTTCTGTCCTGCGTCCACTTCCTCTGATTAGCCGTTTGTGTGTGTATGCGGTCTCCATTTAGTTCTTTGTCTGTGTATCTGCCCTCATGTGCTCCCTGGTTTGCTTCCTCTGGGCTCTGTGTGGTGAAGCAAGTTCAGCCTATGCAGTCATCTGAATACATTTATCTTAAAATCAGGTTAAGCTGGTTATCGACTCACTCAGGCAACCCATGCGTTATCAATCGTGCTACGAGTGCATTCGCATGAAAGGGGAGGCATTTTCTCTCGCAAAATTTCGACAATGTAAGTTGAAATACTTTTCAGGAGTACAGCACTATCATTAAGACTCAGGAGAATTCAGTGGATTATAATCGAGTTTTGTGGTTATTTTCTGTCATCTACAACCCCGTTGGTGATTAAGAGTTGGAGAGCAAGTAAACTAAATATGAAAACAAAATTCACATGTAGGGTTAGTTATTTTTAAGGATCATGTATTAAAGCTTATAGCACAAAAACATTATAAAATTGTTTGCCTGAACAGGGATAAAAATTACAGTATAACGTTGCATCGATGAAATCAATCAGGGAAAGTCAATACATTAGACACTACTGAAAAACATTAGACCCTCCCACTATTCATGTAGAAGGGTCCTAGGGATGTTCCAGGAATGGTCGCACTATTTTCTTTTCTTCTTGGAAAATTGATTGTTGATTTCATACCTGCAGAGCTAACCTGTTCCAAAGCAGGTTAGGTCAACAGCATATGTTACCATAGCAATGTACCCCAATAAGAGGTGAACTGCCTTCGTCGTATAGAAAACGAAGAGTTAACCTGGAAGTCACCTGGATAAGATCAAAGACCTTCTTACAGGCTTAGGATTGTGGATGTTTTATTCTGTTTGGAATTTCAACCTAACTTTACCGCTCTTACTAAGCCACATAAGTCTGTCGTTTTGGAATCATCTTGACTATGGCACATGATAGGCTCCAGTCCCAAACATGTGCGAGTTTTTATTTTATTATTACAAGTCAAACATTGCATCCATTTGGTTTCATCGCTGGATAACACAACTCCAACTCTAATGTCTTCCCATCAACCCCAGGTATGTTGCATCAGTGGAAGACTAATAGGCATTTTCCCTAATGACACTCTATTCAAAAGCAATCCAGGGTTTCATCAACATGGAGTTGATGAAAATGCTCACTGCTCTTGCAACAAGAGGAAAGTTTTCTATTTCGAGGATCTATGATTCAAAGTGCTTGGCACACTGGCCTAGCTGAAAACCAAATACCACTGTTTACATTATCGCTAAGAACACTCTGTTGGGTTATTTTAGTCTCAGCATGAGTGTATCAATAATGTGTTAAAGCTGTTAGTGATGCTGTAACAAATGTGGTTTGCGCTTTTAAATAGCACATTGTCCCCATCTGTCATTAACAAATGCACAGATCTTGGCATGAATTATTTGGTGTCCCTAGTAGCCCTCCTTGGGATGTGCAGAGGGGGGTGTTGCTAAATCAATAGCCATAAGGAGTCTAGCTCCCGTTTGCTTTCAAGATCTACAGCCAAAGGACCCAGTCATCAAAAGTTAATGAGCTATTTAGATCATGCTGTTTCCTCAGCCCTCGACTGAGAAAACACTGCTGGACTAGGGAGCAAAGAGCCCCCACGAATGTGTGTGCTTATGTTTTATATGCTTCATGTGTCTCCTATAGATCAATAGAGAGAGATTGGCAGCTGAAAAAGAACAAAGCAGTGGAAATGGTTATCATGCCTGTGCAGTTGTTCTTGCATTGTTTGGTGCAAATGCTTGACAGTGGTTGCAACCCTTTTGATGGGCAGTAATGTGAAAACAAAGCTTCTTTTTGACTCTGTTGTAATGCTATTGTTGGGCTATTCAGGCACCGCAGCAGCCGCATTATTTGGCTCTAGTGGTCAGTGCCAAATGGCCAAATAGGAACGATGAACATACAGTACATGTTTTAACTAGCAATTAACAATAATGAGTTTTGTTTTGTTTTGTTTTTTTTTAAAAAAAACTATATCCATGTTATCCACATTTGTCTGTCTCTAGGCTGGTCCAAACAATGGGCAGGAGGCTAAACCCACTTTAAGAGGCTCCAAAGTAAAAAAGTAAAAATCTTATTTTCAGCACTGAAAACAGGGGTACCATTTCTAACTTCTAATTATGTGGGCGTCCTACAGCCCACCTCCAGAGTCTGGCACCATCCACCCTTAATGTGGCTAGAAAAACAATAAAGTGTAATGTGTTGTGATTGTTCTCTCCCCCCTTTGGTTCTGAGAGTTTTCAGAAGGCCGTCTTGCATTTGAATGTATATCATTTGTGCTGCTGTAATTCTGTGTAGAACTTGAGACTTGCTGTGAAGGCTGTAATTCAGCATGTTGAAACCTTTATAAAGCTGCTTCCTATAGATTGGAACAAATTGTTGTTATTATGTTGGTTTAGTCAAGTTGTCATGCATTTTTGCCAGGAATCGTGCACAAAAAGTCATCTCAGGGATCCCAGGACTGAATGGAAACTGGGCTGCTATAAACTCCAGTCTTTTTCCACCCGAGCTTCCCATCCAAGCATTATATCCTGTCCTATCCAGTTGTGTTATCAGCAATTGCACGGCTGTTATCGGTCCTTGGATAGCCTCCCATAACTACTGCGATGTTATCCTATTCACAAGAGGTCGTTTCACCCTGCTGAACTGAAGTAATGCACTTCCACACTTCAGTGTTACTACAAGTGATACTGCGCAACATTCTTTATATTTTGTTTTCAAGCAGCTACACTTTCCTGTAATGTTATAATAGTAGTCTTTAAAAACAGCTCTCCAGGCTTTCTGAAGGTCATTCAAAGTGTTTCCTTGATTGATTTATCCCACATTTTTAGTCCAGTCCTTTTTCAGACAAATATTGTTTGTTTGTTAAGCCACTTAACACTGACTATAAGTCATACAAATGTCTCCTACTGTCACTCAAGGAATGAACCAATGTTTTGCTTACATATAACAGGTAACTTTTTGGCCAGTGGTGTTGGAGTTGTGGTGTTGTTAATACTGATGGAATTATGAATGATGCACATTTGATTTTGATGGAATACCATCAGGAAAGCATCTGATTGGGATCAAATTATTTTTTCACTATGACAGTGATCCTTGTTTCTTGTTGTGTTGGAAAATCCTTGCAGTGATTCATGATTTGAATCCAAGCGGTAATTCTTATTATATTATTATTATTAGTCCCAATCCTCATTTTTTACTCTCGTTAGGTACACGTCTTTTTGTAACCTCTCTTTCTTCACAACCTCTTCTCTGTATATTATGCTTTGTTTTTTTGGGGGTTTTTTTTATCTTCTATTATCCTCATTTTCTGAATTCTGTGCCATGTTTCTTCACCTGAAGTCAGCTAACAAGGCCTGAAGCATATCCGCTAACTTGTCACCCAGGAATCCTCCCATGTTCCCTCACTGGCTGTTTCCTGGCTGCTAGCCTAGTTAAAGGGTTTGCACATAAATGTTGCAGGCAAGAAGTTACTGCTGTTTAAATTCCCTCGAGGACAGTCAGAGAATAGGAATGGCTCCCTATTACCAAGACCACAGAATGTGTGTATGGGCACCAAGAATGTAGGATGTGATCATTAAGAATTAACCTTAACCCCAGTGCAGCTATTCTGAAGGCTTGTGGAACGAACCCCAACAGATTTCTAAAATTTGTGTATCTCTCTCTCTCTCTCTAACAGAAAGTAGCCAGCAATTCCCTATCCACATGGTGAATATCATCACCGTGGGAGGAAGGTGTGATGTACACCAAACTTTTGGGCAGAACTGCTAAAAAAAATTTGACCACAGTGCCAGTCAAGCGGCAATGAGGGAATGAATCAAACTGAGGTGAGTGGAGCAAAGCATTGATTTTCAGGATGTTCCCAGTGGAGGAGGTTTTATCTGTTGTGTTCTCCACAGATGCACATTAACCTCCAGCTCTCTGAAATACTCCCAAACCCCCCGAGGACTCAAACCTCACCTGTGGCGATTAATTGGTCAACCTCTACATTGCCCTGCCTCTGCCAGTCTGCCCAGTCAGTTCTCCATTCGTCTCCCTCTGTCTGCCTGTCAGCTTTGATTCCTCCCCTTCTCCAGCACTTTTCCCACAAAACACTAATCCTGTAGCTTGAGAATCAGGCGCCAGAGGTTCAGCGAGTGAAAGAGATTGAGGATGAACTTTGGCTTACTGTCAGGCTTGGCAACCCTTCTACATAAAACCTCCAAGAGAAGGCATACTGATCAGTGATCACTTGTTGAAGCACATTACTTTTACATTTTAAAATAAATAGAATTCAACTTTTTGTAGTAACACACAATTAAACTCATACTGTACACACAAACATGAAATGACTATATAAAGAGCATAAAAACCCATACAATCTTTTCTAGAAAAAATCTAGAAAAATCTGAGAAGCCTGCAGAATTGTCCGTGACATGAATGAGTAACATGGCTGTTATTCAGGCAGTTTGGAGCTTAGCAGATCACCTAGCTAGTAAAATGTAACAGGTCATTTTTCAAAGAAGGACATTTTGACTCGCGAGCAGGATATAATAAAAGCAGTGGTTCCCATTTAGCTCCTTTGATTGCAGGGTTAGGAGAAAAATCAAAGTTGTTTCTTTTAATAATGTAAACTTAATGTGTCTCATCATAATTTCAAGGATGTTGTGTTTAGACTGTGATTATTTTGAATGTGTCGAGTGGTTTCCAGTGTTTACGAGTAAAATTTTAGTCATGACTATGAGCCTCCTGTGGTTATTAATGACTCCCAGTCACTGTTTGTGTTCAGATCTTAAATAAAAACCAATTCCAGTGTTGCTGTGCGGTGTATGGGGCACATAAATCCAACAACATTCTCTGTCGCTTAACACATAATATAAATATTATAAAGATGTATTTCTGTACAGGATGTACCATGCCTCTTGCCCTGTGGTAGCTGGGATAGGCTCCGGTCCCACCATGTCCCTAAATTGGATAAGCAGGTAAAAACAGATGGATGGATGAAATGATACGTAAAGTGTATTTAATTTAAAATTGCTTAAAGATGCTTTACTATGGTACAGTGTACTATTAAGTTGTTATGAATTATTCAACCTAAGTACTGCACACTTAAAATCAGTCAGCATGCTTAGTGCTGTTACTTTTTATGACAGTTAGTTTAGCCATCTTATCAAGTTTTTCAAGTGCAGCTGCTTAAAATCAATCGTTCAATGAACACTACAATCTGGAAGTCCACATTGCAGACATGTGAAAAAGAACGTTTTCACGGGCCTGCACACTGCTAATTGATCATTAACAAGTGTGAGCACCTCTATAAAAGCTGAAGTTTTGGTAGTTTGCTTTGGTAGTTTCTCTGAAGAATTTAGGTGTGTGTTAACACACAGCCACAATCTTCCAAGGAGTGAGCGTCCCAGTACATTCACCCCAAGATCAATCTGTGCAATGCACAACAAAACTTTAAAAAACAAAGGCAACATCAGCATGGCTTGTTTGGAAGTGTTTCCAGAAGAAAACCTCTTTTCACTCAAAACTCTTCACACTGGGAACAATGTCCAAACATGCAAAGCAAAGTGGGGATTTTTGGCCACAAAACACAGCATATCAGTTTTTTTACGACTGTATATTAATGATAGAACAGCAGTTATAGCTACACTTGTGATCATTTTTGTCTCGGTGGATATAGTTCACCCAAAGTATGTAAAAATGCGCCAATTTATTATATAAATGCTTTTCTTTTTCAGTGTTGAGAGATATCTCATTTATAACATATATTTATCTGGAAATTGCAATAATGAGGTGTCCTTGGTCTTAAATGTGGTGCAGATGTTCTGCCATTTGTTTATGCGACAGAGATAATTACAAACAGCCGGTGTGTAGCTCAGTGGTATATTGAAATAGTGTCCAAAATGCATCAACAGCTGCCTGCTCTTGTTCTCTCGTGAGTCCACTATATAGTAATATATTAGATGAGTGAGTGAACAAGTGGACAATTCAAACACAGCCTGGGATACTTGAACAGAACAGAGCCAGCCTTAATTAACACAGTTAGTAACACCTGTGGTGTGACGTTTGACAAGTCAAACATCTGCTGTGACAAAGACCATTAAAGGCTCTTTGGAAAAGAAGAGATACATAATCCAGTTAACTGTCATTGTATGTCTTTTTATAAAAAATAATAATTAAACTGGCTGGTCGTGTTATAGTTTGTGTTGTTTTACGTTTTGGCCTGAAGTCTTTGTTCAAAGCAACAGAGTAAGAGTCAGTCTTATAGCATCCCTGCACTCTAAAACTTATTCGAGCAAAGTTAAGCTACATAGCAAAACTATGTAAAACTTTTTAATGAAACTATACTGTGGACAAGTCTTACATCTAAAATCCTCACATTTAAATGAAACTTTAGGGTTAAATAGAAAGATTTAGCAAGCTGCCACTAGCTTAGTTTTGACCTTGCATAAGAAATAAAGAAAAATGTAAGTGTTGAGTAAAGTGACAAGAAGTGTAATTATTAATTAATTAACTTTCTTGGAAAAGTAATTAAGTGACATTACACATTACTTGTCAGAAAACAACACTACTAAGCAATAACAACTCTGACAACATGACAGCATTTCTGTAATTAGCTAAAATCTACTTGTACATGGGTATTTCAATAAATGTAACTTTTTTGATGTATTGAGGCTCTTTGTAACCAAATAAAATGGATTTTTAAGTCTACACCTTCAGGGTGTAGACTTTAGTTGGTTAGTTTATGTGCACACTAATGGTAAATGGTACAAGAATTCATCTTTTAATGTCAAAGCTGTGCACCTATGTATCTTTTTTGTTCTCAGACTGTGCTGCCTGTTTTTATTTTAAGTGTTCTGATTGGCCAGCATTGGCCAGTTATATTGCCACGTGTTAATTTGATATACTCTTAACAGCGTTTGACATTGTTTTTTGCCTTTTAATGTTCACTCAGATATTAAAAAAGGTGAAAATCCCCATTTAAAAAAAAACATGTGTGGCTGTAGCTGAAATGAATGGCAAGTACACTGGGGTTTAAAATTTGGCTCTGGGGACTTCTGCTTAAGTTGATCAAATACCAAAAGAGAGGCGCTTGAGGCAAGTTTTTCCTTTTCATTAATTATATCTTGAAGTTTTAAATGTTATGATAATCACATGAAGGTGTAAATGTAGATGGGAGAGAGAGGAAGAAGACAAATACACAGAGTCTGCACACACAACCTTGAAAGGTATTCTCAACCAAAGCAAAAATTGTGACTGTATGAATAATTACTTTCTTTTTTAAGGAGATAACAGAAACTCTATTTAATTTTAACAGAATACAGTAATTAGCAGTTAAATTTGCTATCAGTTTTGAACTACTTGGGGGGGGAAAAAAACCCTTGACAGGCTGAGGCCCACTCGGGATGTTCATCGGTCACTGATGAGTGCTCTCCACAGGACCGAAGCAACAGCCACTGAATTATTGAACATAGCAGCGTCCCTAAGGTGAGGTGCTGCATGGAAGTCTTCAGTCTTTGGGCCTGACAAAGAGAGAAGAAGGCTTGATGAAACATGGTGAGATGCTTACAAGCCATCCGTCACGCTACCTCCCCGGCCACATAGAGGCAGGATTGGATTTCCGGCCAGGGGGATTTGTCGTGTCAGACGGGGGAGCGGGGATTGAGCAATACTTCAACAAAGAATAGTCGTGATTGTTTCCAGAGTTTTCTAAATCTTCATGAATTAAATATTTTTCTGTATGAAAATCTAATACATCTGTCAGTTTTCCGCATCTGTATTTGCTTTTATGCGGTACACCGGCACGTATATGAAGCGTGCATATGTTCATGTGGGTATGTCTTTTATGAAATGCATACATGGGTAAGTTATGCGTCGGAGCCTTTGAGGCTTATGCCCAACCCAGGGCACAAGTCGTAATACTATCAGAGCTGTCCTGCTGAGCACCTGCTTTATTATTATTATATATCCCTGAACCTCAAGCTGCATATGAAACCTGATAACAAGCACAACCTCATATTTATGTTCAGACTTATATCATACACACTGAGCTGACAAGCAAACTATGCAAGATGTTATAAATTAGGACTAAAGGTGCAATATGTAAGATTCTTAGTTAAGAAAGGTCAAATAGAAGCGTAAAAAAATCTATAGCGCTGTTAAAAAGTATGTGTATCTCCTTTCCTGATTTCTCATTTATTGTCCATATTTGTCACACTTGCATGTTTCAGGTCGTCAAACTAATTTTAATATTGGGCATCCACGGGAGAGTTCAAGGAGAAAACCACCGCTGACCTAAAAGAACACAAAGGCTCATCTCACATTTACCAGAATGGTACACAGTAAATGCACTGATTCTTATATGGCACTTTTCTACTCTCCCAGAGCACTCAAAGCACTTACAGCATGCCTCATTTACCTGTGCTTAAGTGCTTTCTATGTAACATTCACACTTCTATGGATGCATTGTAGAACAACTTGGGGTTAGTATCTGGCATATTTGGCATGGGGACTGAAGCAGCCAGGCATTGAACCACCAACCTTTAGAATAGTAGAAGACCTGCTTGATGACATCTTGATGACAAAAGATGAACCTTTTGGAAGGTTTGAGTCCTGTTACATCTGACATAAAACTAACAGCATTTCATTAGAAAATAAATAAAAAGATCATCACACCAACAGTCAAACGTGGTGGTGGTGGTAGTGTGATGGTCTGGGGCTGCTTTGCTGCTTCAGGACGATTTGCTGTAATTGATGGAACCATGAATTCTGCTCTCAACCAGAAAATTCTGAAGGAGGATGTCAGGCCATCAGTTCATGCCCTGAAGCTCAAGAGCACTTGGGTTATGCAACATTTCTGCACTCTAGGAAGGGAAGTGTGTGAAGGTCAGTAAGTATTGATGCAATGCAGTCAGTTCAGTAGCATTTTGAACTAACTACAGTTCTTTGAGGTTTTTCTTGCCAACAGACCAAAGACACATTTACTGACAGTAATGAAAACAAACACTTCTTCTGCACCTTTAAAGTTATATAACAATCTATTTATTGCACAATTATTATTTTTTGATGAACAACTCATTAGGTGAACAACCTGCAAGGCATCTGTCTGTATTCCCACAATTCACAAGAATCGCTACTCCTTATTTTAGTGAAACTTAGACATAGTGATCACGTAATGGGTCTTGACTCAAACTGCACATAAGGTAGAGGTCATATTCTTTTGTTTTATGGGCAACAACCTGTGAATTGTGATTAAATCACAAGTCAGGTGAGTTACTACATCACTGAAGTTCTTGTATCCTTTAATTTTGTAAACAGCAACCAGGTCACTGGTGAGAGTCCATAAAATTACCCTTTTAATGGAAA